TTTTCTCTTTTTTTCCTTTTATCCGTTCTCTTTTTTCTCTTTTTCTTCCTTCTTCCTTTCTTTTTTTTCCTTCCTTCATTCTTTCCTTTCTTCCTTCCTTTGTGCTTTTCTTTCAGTCATTGAAAGTTTTTTCTTCTAAATTATAAAAATATCTAATGATATTTTACCTTTATGCTTTCTAGTTCTAAATTTGCTTGCTGTCTTAAGTGTCTAGAATATCACCTGGACAAAGAGGAATTACTCAGAAGTATCTACAAATAATTGAAGTGATTATGACTTACTTGGATAAAGGTGTGAGGTAGGTATGTAACTCCATTTATTACATATTTTAAGTTACTTTTCATTCTTTGGGATATTGCTTATTTAAAATGCTAGGTAATTTTAAATAAGGTAATTTTTTTTGTTTTACTTAATTCCTATATGCCATTGTATCTAGTTTTGACTATTGTGCTATATTCTATTTCCTTGACTCATCTCTCTGCCTTATCTGTTGTAACTTTTGTATTTCGTTATGGAATAACCTCTTATAGAAAGACTTTAAAAGTTTCTAGCTAAACCTGTAATTTTTTTGAAAATTTTTGAAGTTTTCTCCATGATAATATTTTTTGTCATTTTAAAATATTACTTCTTTACACCAATCCTGTTATTATTTTTAATTTTGTGAATTTTCATGATAGCATTTTAGTTTTCAAGAAGGAAAATTCTCTTTTAACTAATGGGTATAGTGTCTGAAATAGGTAAGTGTCTTTGCATATATTATTGATATTAATAAATGCAAACTTTGAGACTTGCTATAATTTCACTGAAAAACATGGACCTTGACTTTCTTTGTGGATCAACTCTAATTTGATAGCTTAATAAAATTTCAAGCAGTTATATGATTTTTTAAAAATAATAATGTATGTAAATATGCTTGCATGATATACAAGCATATATAATTAGGATAATTTGAAAAGCTAGAAGATCTTGAGAATTTATCTTTCATATTGCAGTGTGAATGTACATTTATAAAAGAAATAAAATACATCAACGTTTGTCAACATAAGAAAGATCACAAAACCAACAGCTCAGAAATGGAAACTTCGTTAATATTTATGTAATTTAATAGCTTATAAATATCTAATTAGAAATCACTAGGAACTAAAAGAGTAGACAATGAATTATTCTGAGGCAATCAACTAGATGTTTTGGTACAAATTATGTATAATCCTTGAAGTAGGTAAAGTTCTAAAAATGTCAGTTAAGATTTCACTCTCTAATCCAGTGGTGGCAAACCTGTGTCTTTAATTTATGTTGTTTTGTTTTTCTTTTAAAACAAAATATGTTAATATAGAGTTGATTTTTCAAAACTAAAACTTCAGCATTCAGGTTCAATTACAGTATTGGTACTCGGTCTCTAAAAGGTTCCCCAACACCGCTCTAATTTGTAGAAACAAGATTATTTCCCCTCTGACAGCCTTCCTTTGATTCTGTTATATTATATGCTCTATGGATCTTAAAATAGGGTGAAACTCTGAGTTCAGAAGATGATTTTTCTCCAAACAGATAGGACCCCAACACATTCAACACCTTAATTTTTGTCTTGTGAAACCCTAAGCAATTGAGAGTACCTGGGTTTCTGACCTATGAAAATGTGAGTTAATAAGTTTTGTTCCATATTGTTATGTAGCAATAGAAGTTTGTGGTCTACATTTCAGATGTTCCTGGAGCAACTGCCTTACAGTTGAGTTTTATTTCTATGAATGAGATCAATAGAGAACCTAGAAAGTTTGCCCAGCTCTCTCCTGAAGGGACACCAGGAGCCTGCTGACCGCCTGAGCTCCAGGTATACACAGAGCACCATGGAGAGGGGATCTGACAGACTCAGGCAATCTCATGACACTGCTTCTTCTTGTCATCATTGTCGCCCTTAATGAAAGGTGAATACAGATAATTTTTTTCTGTACTGATTCTGATGCAAAATAAAAAACAGTATAGGCTCAAGCATGAGACTAGTGGTGGAAATTTTGGTTTGTTTTCCAACAACTTGAAATTTTTGAATGAAAATATAATAAAATCAAGAATTTTAGTCATTTTTACTGGTATATAAATTGGTGTTATAAGAAAAATTATCTTTTACAAGGGTAATTCTACATATTTAGAAGAATGGAGGCTTATTCTTAGATCATCTTAACTATTTTTCATTAAAAAATGCAAACTAGTCAGAGAATGACCTGCCACTTTTAACTATTTTATTATACCATGATGTAGTAAAATGCTTACCTCTCATAATATGATTAACGGGGTTGAGAGAATTGTTAGAAAATTACTGCATTTCCTTTTGGTGATACTCACCTATTGTAAAGTAATTATAAGTGAGATAATGGTGACATTTCATTAAACGTAAATTTAATTATTTACCCAGAACATTAATCTGAAGGTCATCACTGAAGTAAATCCCCGTAAAGTCTCTTTCTGGAAAAAAAAAATCCTATGAAATCTAAAACATAGTTTTGAAATATTTTTAGTAATAAAACAGATAAATTAAGGTATATCATATATGATATTGTATATATCTAAATTGTATCTATAAATTTAAGTTATAAAATATAAGAAAAAAAGAAAATATAGGTGGGATGGTTCTATAAAAATTGTAGGATCCAGATAATACATATAATGCAAATTTATAAAGTAATCCTAGAAAAACATTGAAATAAATTTATAAAAATATAAAAGGGGATCTATATAATAAGGTGATAGAAACATGTACAGTTTCTATCACCTTATTATTAAGATAGTAGGTCTGACCATCTCCATCCACCCCATTTTCTTCTTGAAAATCCACTCACTACCCACAGCTGCTGCTGTTGAAGACATAAACTTTTCCTACATCTGCTAGTAGTCACTTGACCCAAGCTAGACCATCCAATCCTTTGGGAATATGAAACCAAAGATCACAGTTAACCTAGGGCTGAGTCAGCTGTTTTTTATGTATGTGTATATGCATTTTAAAGCAGCAAGAGCAAATTTATAGAGGAAGGAAATAATGTTAGCACATCAGCGTCTTTTGCGTTTTCTGGCTACAGACTTCACGAAATCAGTGTTCATCAGTGTCACTTGTGGCTTGGTTCAGTGATGGCTAACCTTTTAGAGACAAGCACCCGAAATGCAATCTGAAACACACTTATTTAATACAAAGTGTCAGCATTGCAGTTTTCTTTTCTAAACCAAAACTAATGTTTTGGTTTAGAAAAGAAAACCCATGCATTAACATCTTCTGTCTTAAAAGAAAAACAACATGCATGCAGAAGGTTTACAATCACTGTTAATTTGTTTGAGTGAGCTTATGTTTCTTCAAATGATCCATATACACACACATAAAAAAGGATGAATAATTTTCTTTTGAATACTGTTTTTCTTAATTTTTATACTAAAAATGTAGATTTATTTTGGAGACAGGGTCTTGTTATGTAGCTCAGCTACCCTTGGACTCACTAGCAGCCCAGGCTGTATTTGAACTCTCAGCAATCCTCTGTCATCAGCCTCCAAAAGCCGGGTTTGCAGATGTGTACCATCTCGTCAGCTTATACATACAGATTTGTAAACAAAAGATATTTTAATTTAAAAGTCTGTAAAAAAATATGCAAAAGTTAAAAATATGTCTACAAAACACAAGTGGATAGTCAAAGTAGAAATACTTTATACATATTTATAATGAATATTAATCACAAAATTGATATGACTTGTAAAAATTTGTTCTATCGATAAAATTAATTTCATAAAATAAAAATAAACCCAGTTAGAAACATGGCAGATATTATAATAGGAAACAAGGATTAAAACAATCAGGGTAGCCGGAAACAAAATTTGTGCATTCTCTAGCAGTCAGGGGCAAAAAAAGCACAATGTATGATTTTTCTCTTCACAGTATGACTAAATAAACCATTCTAGTTCTTTTTAAAAGAGTCAAGTTTTACTCTGATTTTCAAGTCTGAATTGCAAGTTTTTCAATATATATAATTGTAGTATTAAACAATTTGTTCCTTAGAAAAGTCAGAGTACAATCTAAAACTTTAATTTTTTTTTTTCGTCTTTTTATCGGTACCGGGGATTAAACTCACGACTGCCTGCTTGCAAGGCAGGCGCTTATGCCGCTGAGCTAAATCCCCAGCCCCTAAAATTTTAATTTTACCTCTTTGAAATTTGTGATTTAGCAAGGTCAATCAGTATCACTTGGACCAGACAGAAATAAAAACATGTTAGATGACCCAGAAATATTTTCTTATACGACTATTTGTTTGCTACTTTAGTATTATTTAAATTGTTATATTTTGAAATCATTTCCAGTATAATATAAGTGAATCATCTTGGCATATAGCTTTGCAATTATAGAAACCTAAAACTGGGAAAGTTAGAGGTATAGTTATATGACATGCAGCTTGATTTTACTTTCTAAAAATTAAAGCTGTTTTCTATATTTGTGTTGAATTCATGGTTCTCACTCTTATCAAATCAACTGTTTAAACTTCCAGTGAGAATCTGGTGTTGTTGATTAATATGAGTCATGATTGCCAAAAGGCTTTTATGTAGGTGGAAAAATAATATTAACATTATTAAAAATTAGAGTCTTGTGTTCTTGCCCAAGAACAGAAGCTTACCCTCAACTTTGTACATTGTTTCGTGTGCAAAAAGAAAAACAAAATCGTAACTCAGTTAAAATATAAACTTAGAAAATGAATCTGTGTTACTCAAGCAGTGTCACTAAAGTTTATCTTGGTAAATGCAGGAGAGACATTTTTGCTTGGTTTGTTCAGAATATGTAAAATCTATAGTTGGAGGCAAAGTTCTGGGAAATAACATTTGTGTACCGTAGGAAGAGTTCAGTAACATTAAACATGTTTACCTGGCTCTTACCCCAACTTCATGCAGTTATCTTTTTTACTTTTTATCTTTAGTGGAATGTTTATAAGTTTTAATTTTCAAGGGTGCTTAGGAAAAGCAATATTTCATTTCTGTTCAACAGATATTACCTTCTTATTGCTGCCAAAAACTGAGGTCATGGAGGTGATTTGGCTGATGGCCCAGTGTAATCAAAGTGACTGCAGGTAAAGTGAAATGTTTAATTATAACTCTCATTTTCAAAATGACTTCTTGAATAAATGGTAGATCAGACATAGGCACAGATTGCCGGAGGCGATTGTGCTTTCTGTGTGGACACAGGAAGGAAATGACAAAATGAGCCTGTTCGTGCAATACTTGGCTATGTAAAAATTCATTCATGCTGAGAGAATCAGTAGAGCACGGTACAATATTAAAATTCTTTTGAAAAGAGGAGTTAGAATAAGTCAACATGGGGACAAATGTTGGTAAGAATTCTTAATACATTTTAAGAGTTTAGAGTGTGAACATGAATTATAAAGATGAAAATATAACAGATAATCACATATTTATTTGTAAAATCAGAAATATTGCAAATAAACATAAAACACAAAAATGTATATATCCTGTGTTCCAACAATTCTTTTTTGTAGTTATCTATGTCATATAAAATAAAATATGAGTATTTATATATGTAGACACAAGCATATAGAAAAATTTCAAAAAATAGTTGTACTTATTGATGTGTATTGCTATATATGCATAAGGAAAGACTAAGGAAGGATATTCAACTCTCATCAGCTGTTATTCTGAAGTATATGACTGCAAGCATGAAAGGAAAAATTTTCATTTTCTTACAAAATGTATTTTTAAAAAATTCTTCATGTCATGGGCACTTATTATTCATGAATTTTGCATTTTTATAGTTAAAAATTGATTTATAAGTACACCTGCATCTTAACCATACAGTTTCCACAGGTAGACTGCGTAATTAATTCATATTTTTAAATATTATACAACAGTTTCAATATCTGATATATTCCATTAGAGGAAAAGATATTACGGTTTTACATGGTTAGCTATTTTTGCATCTTTTAATTTAATAAGACCGCGATAGTAAGGGACAAGAGTTAGGGTAGAGTTTAGAACGCACAGATTGTAATAATGTACTAGCAAAAGTTGCTGTGATTTTACACGGACTTTAATGCTGATTAAATATTAAAAACTGACAGGACAGAAAAAAAACGAGATTTGCTGAATTATAGAATGGATCGTCACAAAATTAATGAATATCCTAATTGCATGCTTGCATGTAGAAAAGAGATTATAAGAAAAATAAAAATAAAGGATACTATCAAATCAAATCAAAATAAAAAAGGATTGATGAAGAGGTGCTACCCTCCTAAACAAACATACAAACAAACAAAGCTGTGATGAGCAGATTCAAGATACGCTTTCTACCCCACAAACATTACTAAAAGGCGAGGGACAAGCATGACCTACACAGAGACCTTACCTTGAAGAAACACAAGAAGTAGAATCATCCGAGCCAGAGAGCCGGGAGGCCAGGACCCAAGAGCCTGGAGAATGACTTGATGCTGAGCATCGGTAACAGAAGGCTCAAACTCCCAGTTTATCATTTTTACTTATTTGTAAAATGTCTTCATTTCTTTCTATAATCAAACATTAATAATAATCTTCACTGACTGGCCATAAGATAAAAGTTTAACTAATCACCAAGGGATTTCAGATGTTCTAAAAACTAAAATCTGCATCTGTATTAAGATAGGCATTTGGATCAGGAAATGGTCTTTAAACTGGATTATATCACTTACTAGTTGAGATATTGAACTTCAGAGATAACATATACTCTGTAAAATAATGCTAAGCACACCTACCACATTAGTAGAAATTTCTTTATACTTTTATAGGCTGATGTTCCTTTGGACCCCCTACACACCTCTTCAATCAAGTAAGTCTTCACTCAAAAGAGGCAGCCTGGAAAGCTGCCCCAACAGCCACACATCTAATGCTCAGCCGTTCTTCAAGATGAATGTCAGCACACTTTTTCTCCACTAAAGTCACTTTCTGGCATTTCTTTTTTTGAACCTTGGACTGAAATTGTCTATACCATACACATTTTTGTTCTATTAATCAAGTATCTCATTTGTACATATGTAATTTTGATAAAGATACGGTTAGAACAATATTTCCTAAATTGATGCCTATTTGAAGATCACTAAGTGAGTAGAAGGGCTGTGACCTGCGTTTTACAAAAGTACAAGAAAAAGAAAATATGACAAAGAAAAAATACATTAGAAAATGTCATGCATCCAATGTCTATTGCTTGATTAAATAAAGGTGTGCGTGTGTGTGCGTGCGTGTGTGTGTGTGTGTGTGTGTGTGTGTGTGTGTGTATGTGCCCACACAAAAGCATGCTTGATCATGAAATAAGGTATGGAGAGTCAAAATACTCTTCATTTCTATCTTAGTCAAGTCTCATTGCATTACAATGTCTTGGAGTACTTCTGATTTAATTCCCTCAGAGGTCTCAATAAATGAATCATAATTATGTGAGTGGTGATCTCAGAGATTCTCAATCACACAGAAGAATAAATATTTGCAATTCAATAAATTTTGAAAATGAAGGTCAAATTTGGGAAAGGTAGACAAGAATTTCTAACTACTTAAATCGTGCTAAAAATAAAAAAAATTGGTCTCAATTGAGTTGAGCAGTATAATGAGAAAGGGAGATTATAAGAATATTTGTAAAACAAGAACTTATTGGACTTTATATATGGGGTCAATTGGGTTCAATGCAAATTTCTATGATACAATAATCTAGCTACAACTCACTTTACCCTCATGCCTAGATTATTAGTCATCTCTTAAAATTTATAATATTGATTGCAAGTAATTATTTTAAATAATTTGCTTATTTTAAATAGAGCTTCCCATTATTTTTATTATTTCAAAATAATAGCTCCTCCCCAAGAATCTAAGGTTGGTCTCTAGAAATAGGATATAACGTATGGTTTTCATTTTATTTTTTATTGAGTTACTAATACAGAGCAATAAAATTAAAGCAAATAGAATACTAAAGCTAGTGACAAATATATTTAGCATTTGGCATTTAGGATGTTACTATGTATAAGTCATGAATCATTTCCTTTAGCCTACTTAGCTACGTCATACATCAATGCCTCCTATTTCAATTTATATTTTTGCTATTTATTTCTTCCCTGCATTTTATTTGCGGAAGCAAAATGGCACCTTTGATTCTTGTATACGTCTATCAAGACTCCCCTCAGGCGTCTCCTCCTGAATGTCTTTGTTCATTACATCCAAGCCTGTTCTCAGTGACCAGTTTTCCATCCCAGGGATCATATTGCAGAGAGAGTGATACATATAACTCTTTCTGCTATCTAAGACTTTCTCTTTGGGGCAAAATTTCTTATCTGTTTTAAATACCCAACTCAAAAAAGTTGATTGCATGATTAAATTGAAATGATATCATTAAATAAAGCAATTACCCAATATTTCTGTGTGTGGGTTGACTTATTACCACTAGATGTCATTGTTAATCACCAGAATGTTGTAGGACAGAAGCATTAGAACTTAGTAGCAACTTTGAAATTCGAAAGCTGAAATAACTAATAATTATCTTAACACATTTTGGAGGGACAAAACTTGACCTGACCTGAACTTATTTTATAACAAATTATGAATATATATGCCACGAATCTATTTATTATCTTTTCCATACAATCTAAACATTATTAACAATTAAGCATAAGATGCTGCCCAAACCTCACAGGAAGTATTTTGAAATATTTGTACTATGCTCTACATTATATTTCTCAGATGCAATGCACCATGATTTCTGAAAACCAGGTGGCAGAAAAGCTTTTGATAATTGATTCTTGCACCAGCAATGCCGTTGTTATGTTGTTTAGGAAGTATGATAATAGTGAAGACATTCATTGAGTTCTAATGTATGCATTATGGTAGCCTAATTTCACTCATTCTTATATATAATTATGTATCCAATTATGTCACTCTAAACCGTGCTCTTTTAACTTTCACCATATATGGCAATATAAAACTAAACTTTGAGAACATGTGTACTATATTTTAAAGTTTAACTGGTACAAAATGCGGTCGAAATAGAAATATATTGTTTATATTTTTCTGATTAAATCTTGATTTTGTACTTAGGTTTTACTATTATTGGGAATTATACTTAAAATTCCGTGTCATGAATCTTTATGATATATTTGTCGTATTTTAATAAATTGATCCCACATATTCATTTTAGCATTTTATACACTCCCTGCCATTTTAGAAGGGTTTTATAGTGCCTGTCAGTATCCTAGTTTAAAATATTTCAACCAAACATGGTATGAAATAGAAAATTTTTAAACTGTTAATCTGACTTTCCTCATTCCTCCAAAGTTATATGAATTTATTTTGAAAGAATATCTCTCTAAATGTATAAGAATTGAGGGACCGTTCACAATGCCTCCATGTTAGAATATTTCTCCCAATGTATAAGAATTGAGGAACCTTTCACAATGCCTCTATGTTAAAATGATCACCAGAAATCAGCTTTCTTGCTTCCTAACACCTACCATTGCATTTTTTTCATGTATATTTACTTGTTCTCAACCCTCTTGCCTTATTTCTTGGTTTACTGTGAAAAACCCAGTGAAGAGCCAGGTATAAATCCACATTTTGTAATAGGAAGATCATGTAAGTCTGAGTCGGAAACTCTTGCTCTTAGCCCCCGACAACTTGCAGATTAGTTTAATAATATGAGCATCTCCTTTCATCTTTTTCGTATGAAAGTAAGCTACAAAATATTGACATTTCTGCTTTCCATGTTTCTATCACATTTTCATAGTTATTATAGAGACATTCTGCTTATGTTCTGTAATACTGAACTAGTCTGGAGGAATTAGATTTGGGTTTTCCTACTCTGAGACCCACATTTGTCAACCTGTTAGACCTAGACATTTTAATAACAATCCGAAATGTCTCTTTGCCCTCTGTTTCTTGAACTCATCCAATTTGCAGTATTTTGATTATCATTCTAGTTGCTGACATGCTATGCATTCTAGCTCCCTTATTAAGATCCTGGCCATGAAACATATAAAAATATATTTTGCAGGCAAAAGCCACAAGAAAGATGAAAGAAAGTATATTGCTATGATTAAGAGCACAGACTTTTGAGCCAAAGAAATGACTTTTAAGTTCTTTCTCTATATTTTACTAGTTTTGGGACATTTACTTAACCTTTCTTTGCAGTTTTTTTTGATGTACAAAGTAGCAAGATTAATAATATATTCATCATGAATGATTTAATGGAGTTAAACTCCTTAAAACTTTGGCTGGCTCCTAATAGGTACTACCTGTGTATTTCCTATTTTAATTTGAGTCATAGCATGGTGGCTGTGAAAACATTAACTCTGAATCTGAACAGAATATACTGTAATCCTGGTTAAGTCAGTTATTCCCTGTTGAAATTTTCTTAGTGGTAAAAAAAGAAAAAAACAACAGTATAAACTTCCATGTTTGATAATAAACAATAAGTGATTAATGTTTGCAATGAGTATGTTAGGCTGCATAGCATATAATATGTAATTGATAAATAAAATTACTTACATTAACAATGAATTGAAATTGGAAAAGTCTCAAAAGTGCCTTCTGGAATTTGGCAAGGCAACTCCTTGGCTTGTATTTATCTTATTTTGTGGAATAATTAAGACAAGTCAGTAATGGAAAAATTGAGGTTTAAATTGTTATGTATTAAATAGAAACTGCATATGAGATACACGTTTAGAGATTTCAAGTAGAAATTGGATCTGAATTTTAGAAAAGTTGTCTTAACTAAATGAAGATTTTTAGGAACTACATCTAAGAGATGATACATAAAGCTATAGGAAAAATTATATCACCTAATGAAAGAATGAAATAAAAAAAAAAAGATCTAGGGAAGCTTTTCCAAGCCTATAAGAAATTCTGAATTTTGAAGTTAAATTGTGAAAGGAGAATCATCAAATTAACAGAGAAACTGAAATGCAAGAGAGAGAACTGAGTAAGTAGAACTAATAAGCAAGAAGTCAGAGAGAATGTGGAATTTAGAGTCTGAGTGCAGACACTTCAGTAGAACGACAACTATTTGTCAAAAGCTACTTATGGGGACCTGACCAAGATCCCCACCTCCCAAATGAGTGTATGGCAAAGGCTTAAATAAATGAAACAAGTGGTATGATTTTAGGGAGTTTGAGAGTCTGGAGCTAAGACCAAGAGCTTCTCTGACAGCCCATATTTATTAAGTATTCAAACAAAGAGACGGGATCCTGAGGAAAGTTCGAGAAATGAGCAGGACCTTGGGAGTCACTTCAAAGACTTCTCCAGGTAGTAAATTATGCCAATTTAGGAGAACTGTCTTATCTCCACGAAGACATTTACGGAAGGAGTGAGACTGCAGAAGTGAAATTCCTTCAACTGCAGTCTCTATTTACTTAGTGTTGGACCAAGGTGTCCACAGCTGTAGCCTTATCTTGCCCTTCGAGGTATCTCTGGCCTCACAAGCCACTGTAGACCTCAGCCAGGACCAGTGATTCATAGAGGTTCACTTTCTGTGAATCAGCTTCCATCACCAGGCAAGGGGCCGAGGCCTGGACAGACTCATAGAGAAACATAGAAAGCCAATTAGTAAAATTTAAAGCCTGATCAGAGCCATTTCGTAGTGGTCCCCAACAGCTACTGAATAGGCAATTGAAATGGAGACAGCAATCTGTTCACTGTTTCATCATTTTAAGGTTGAGCCAGTTTGACCACAGGTTTCAGGCAGGCTGATGAGGATGGAAATTCACTTCAAGTACAAAGCAAAGCACTGAACACAGTAAGTTTTGATACTGTTTTACTTTGACTAAGAAAGATGGCACAAATAGTAAAGCCATTGGTGGATTAAAATTCAGAGCCAAGTGAGATTCCTTTGAATAAAGATTCTCCTAGAATTTGATTTTGTTTTGTGAACCGCATATGAATAAATAATTAAAACTAAAATTAAAATTAAAAAAAACAAGTAATTGCCATTGAGAGAGAGAGATACAGTTTCATTAATAGGAGATGAATTCAGACTGAATTAGTTTGTAGATTTGGTGATAGGAATAAAATAAGAGTGAAACCTACCAGGTTGCTGTTTGTCTGTTCAATAGCAGATGTCTGTTATATCTGTGGTTAGTGTGGAAAAGAAAAACGACTTTGAGGTTTTACGATAGAAAAACTATGTGCAGGGCATTGGTTACACAGATGATTCTGAACTGTTTTGCATACATTATCTAAAATAAAGGCCTCTTTTTCTTTCTCCAACATACTTGAGAATCTTCCTTATCCATCAGAAATTTGCTTCATCTTTATAAGAAAATAATAAGTAACTATGTTAATATGAGGCTACTTTTCAAAGCCAGGGTGAAACCTGAGGGAGCGTCTCTGTCTCTCCAGCCCTCTCTTCTGCTCTAGTGTACTATGTCTCCAGAAGTGTCTGCTGGATATTACATTGGCCGGTTTCTGACACCACCCCAATTATCTTACTGCCTCTACTTTTTCTTTCTGATTACCATTCCTTTTAACTTATCATTGCCTGATTTAGGTCTAAATAGAAGTTATGATTTCATGGACTTGGAACACTGAAAGAGTCTATGTGTGTGTATTTGTGTCTCAGTAATAGTTAAATTTACTATGATATGCATTTTGGATCTCTAATTTAAAATAAGCTTGAAGGTCATTTTGATTCATTCCCAGAATTAATAATTATGATTCAGTAAAATGTTTGATAATATTGTTCAATGGGTCCTAACATAGTTAAAATTGCTAAAACATGTGTATGTCTGATAGAAGTAAAACTATGTAGCTTGTCCTGGAAAGCATTCCAAATAAATTTGTATCCTGCTATTCCAAAATGGAAAACAACTATTCATAGTTCCATCATCATCCCAAAGCAAATTGTTGCAATATATTTCATTCCCAGAGAATTTAGTAGCAATACATCATGATATAGTTTTTGTTTGTTTGTTTGTTGGACCAGGAATCGAACCCATGACCTTATGCTTGCCAGGCAGATATTTATGCCACTGAAGCTAAATCCTCAGTTTTTAAGTGAATGAATATCTATACATCTTCTCAATTAAACTTTTACTTCCTGTGCTAGTAATATTAAACAGAACAATTTCATGAAAGGGCCCATTGAAGTTGAAATTGAGAAAAAGAACAATCATGGTTTTCAAAACAGGAAAATTCTGGAGTGAAGCTTTCTAAGAAAGATTTATGGCTTTTCAACTGTGGATAGCTTTGTAATATTTTGATCAAGAACATGATAGTTAAGTATGCAGATATAGATTTATCAAATAATTAATTTGTAATTTCTGCCAATAAAATTGGAATTAAAATTAGAAGACAGTAGGATTAATTATTCAAAGTAAATGATGAATGAGAATGTAATATTGGGATATGTTCATGCCATGTGTTTC